AACAAATTTTGGCTAAGTGAAGAAGATGATTGTAAAATGTGAAAGCATATCACAGTTTCGTGATATCTTTGTTCCATTTTTTAGGTTTAATTTGGTGTAACTCTGCTTCTATTAACAATGTCAGTGTAGATTCTTGTTTGCTTGTGTGGATGTAATGAGGGGGAATGAGCTAAAAAAGGATCAAATTATGGAGTTTTAAGCTTACCAGTCTTAACTCTTGTCTGGTTTTGTGCTTGATGCATTCACTGAGTAGGTTTCTTTGAATGATTTTTCTGTGTTTGATGTGATTCAGAGGCTGTGTTCTTTTCATTTCGAGCATGTTATTTATCGCGAGGAAAGCTTTGGCCTCGGTGCATAGTAAGGCAAGTCGTTTGACAGCAAGGGAAGTTCATTGCCTAAGCTCTATTTTATTGTCTCCTCCTCTTGTCTCCCTTGACTTTCCTGAAAATTGGACTCCTCACTCTGATCCTCCACCTCCTGTTTCCTTTGGTAACTCCTTGCCTCCTCTAATGCACTGTTTTGTTCCATTGACATGGCTTTATCATCTCAATGTATATTACAAGAAAGTTCTCTAATTGTATTCATTGGCTTTTGCAGTCTCAATTGTACCCTTATTATCGCTATGTATGTTCTTTTTGTGTGTGTATCATTCAAACAGAGAGTGTACAGAAGACTCTGGTGATAGATGGTAAAGTTATCGCTGAGGAAATCAGAACAAAGATTGTTAATGAAGTGTGTAAGATGAAAAAGGCTGTTGGTAAAGTCCCTGGTCTTGCGGTTGTTTTGGTTGGCCAACAAAGAGACTCGCAAACTTATGTTCGGAACAAAATTATAGCTTGTGAAGAAACTGGTATTAAATCTGTTTTGGCAGAATTGCCTGAGGATTGTACTGAAGAACAAATTATTCGTGTATTGACAAAATTCAATGAAGACACGTCCATTCACGGGGTTCTTGTGCAGCTTCCTTTGCCCCAGGTATGTTTCAAATTTTTGTGTAAGACGAATCGTGACATTGTGATGAGAAATGTTAGTGGGTTGATGTCAAACATTAGTTCTATGTTAGGAGGCAATTTTCTATGTTTACTTTGATTTCTTACTTTTTTGTAGAACTGCTTGATTCTTTCTTTTTCATGGTCTTTAGTATCCATTTCTTGTGTGCATACTCCCGTATTTCAACCAGCCACACAGAACATGCACTCTCTGCATAACATATTTCCCTCAGAGGTTTCCTATATTGTTGATAGGTGGAACATCTGATTCATATATTATGCGATAGAGCACCTGAATTTTCTTACTTGTGAAGATCTATTTCAGGAATATCATCTTGTGTTATAATTGTTATGTTATTATCCTTTTTTCTTTTCCATTTGGGTACCATCATGTAATGAAAGTAACCTTATACAGCATCTTGATGAAGTAAAGATCTTGAATATGGTAAGGTTAGAGAAAGATGTTGATGGGTTTCATCCATTACATATGGGGAATCTTGCAATGAGAGGGAGGGAGCCTCTATTCGTATCTTGCACTCCTAAGGGCTGTGTGGAGTTGTTGATCAGATCAGGTGTTGAAATAGCAGGGAAAAATGCTGTGGTGATTGGAAGAAGCAACATTGTTGGTCTGCCAATGTCTTTATTATTGCAGGTATTAGTTTATTTTGTACTTCATGCAGTAGAGTTCCTTATGCTTGATGATTTCGGTTTGGGATTTAATTATGTATATTGTCTTTGCTGACATTCATGGGTAGAGACATGACGCTACAGTAAGCACGGTGCATGCTTTTTCAAAAGATCCAGAGCACATTACTAGGGAGGCTGATATTGTGGTTGCGGCCGCGGGTATACCTAATCTGGTTCGTGGAAGTTGGCTGAAGCCTGGAGCAGTTGTCATTGATGTTGGAACATGTCCAGTTGAGGTAAAATGGGACCTAATTCCCGAAACTGGTCAAACGTCTTATATTTCCCATTGATTATAGAGTCAAAGACTTATACAATAGTATGAATCCTTTCGAAAACCCTGAACTGAACTCTAAGCCCTTACTACTAGGTTAGAGCTGAAATGAAGAGACCAAATATGTTTCCTCAGGACTGTTAGTTTGTTTCTGGTTAAGCATTGGAGCATGTTTTGTTATGTCAAAACGCAATGATATCGCAGGATAGTAGCTGTGAGCATGGTTACCGTCTTGTTGGGGATGTATGTTACGAGGAAGCGTTAGGTGTTGCCTCGGCAATCACTCCTGTACCTGGAGGAGTCGGACCAATGACGATCGCCATGCTACTATGCAATACTTTGGATGCTGCCAAGCGGATATCCTTCTGATTATGGTACCATTGACTATTACTGAAATTTCATGTGGTTGGAGAGTTTATCACTATTGCTTCATAATTTGAATTATGATGTTTTTTTCCCCCTTATAAACCGCAGTTGGTTTATGATAAACATCTTTAACAGCATGCTCAACAAAACCGCGGGCAGCTTGTTCTCGTGGCTGGTTTCGAGAATACGATCCATGATCTTTGTTTCACTTGGCTTTGCTTATGGAGATGTGTTTTGATAAAGCTTGTACAAGATGAGAAGCCGTTGAGGAACAGTCAAAAAGGTGTCACGAAGGAAATGCTTGCTACAGATATTTAGACGTCTTCTTTTATGTTTTTATGAAGTGTGTGGGAAGCACTAACTCACTTTTCATGGTAAATTCAATTTGTGCAATTGGTTTGTTTGGTAAAACCAATGATCCTTCCTGTAATTCGGTTTACGGATTGTTTTGGTTTTGACGATTTTAACGGTTTTATAAAAATTGAAACCAAATACTCATATTTGTTTAGCTTTGCCCAAAAACAAGAAGATATTTTGTTTAGCAAAACCAAACCAAAACCAAATAACCTGATCTCGACTCGGTTTAGTTTAGATTTTCCGGTTAAGGTATTTTTGTCCGGACCTAAAGAAAATATGAAAAAAAAATATCAAAGAAAAGGGAAAATAGGATTCCGATTCCGAGTCTCAAGTTCCCAAGAGAAGAACATCTGTGAGAGATAGAGAGAGAGATCTGAGACGTCTGGAAATGTGAAGGAAACCAAAAAACGAAGAACGATCTTTGAGACTAAAAAAAATTTCTGTAATAAAAAAAATGGTTTGGGAAAAAGAGAAGATCGTCGGAAGTTGTTTGTTCGGAGGAGCTGCGTTCGCCGTCGGAGCTTCTTTCCTCCATCTTTTCCTTAAAGGTGAGCTTCCA